TTCCGTGTTCCTGCAACGAAACATACATTGGAGACTCGCGACAAGAATAAAAGAACACAAAGACAGTACAAGACTCATGAAAACACAAAATTCATTCATTCCAGAACACGCCATGTCAACTGGACACAAAATAAACCGGGGAAAAAAGTAGAATAATCGAAACAGACAAATTTTGGAAGACAGAAAATTCAAAGAAACATTTTACATAACCTGTGGCTACCATTGGTTGAATCTTCAGGAAGTCTCTCCACCAATCAGAAACAGGGATAAACCAACCAATCATAACACACTCTCCACAATCCACCAGAATACTATGAAAACGTAAAGCAGAAGACTTTCGAAGCGTCGTCCTCTACACTTGCGTTTCTACAACTAAGTTTCATCATCAATACTCTACCTAAACAATTTATCAAAGAATGATAAACTCTTATTTTTGTTAATTAAAGATTTATAAACGTTAAAATATGTTTCGTAGGTCTTCTGTATTTTTACCCATTAGTAGAATCTTTAGTGGGATTTTATTTCATCGTATGATCACATTTTTACGTTACTCATTATAAAATAGGCCCTGACTGGTTTAATCTCAAGGTAAATAGTTCTAAAGAGGGTTTATTGGAATGTTTTTATTTCAGCGCCTGTATAACTGTTTCTACTGTAAAACAGCCTCATGCTGGGGCGAAGCCCACTTCACTGTCTAACTGAAAACCTTTCAAACGGTAGATTGTTGGCTAATGATAACAGTAAATATACCGTTCATTAACAAATCACGTAAGCCAGTTATCATTTCTATGGTTATAATATGCTTGTGAATCGATCAGTGAAAGCTACAAAAAAGTAAAAATCACAACAATTGGAACAACCAATCAGAAGACTTTAAATCGTGTGCCTTCTTCAGTCCCATATTGTCTTCTGGTAGACAACGTGAGACTGGAGAATTAATGTCGAAACTTGTTAAACTAGTTTCCAGTCTTCTGATGGCTTGCTCCATTTATTGTGGTTTTTTACTAACTGTTACACACATTATTGTGTTTTATTATTACTATGTTATCTTTCAGGATACTTGTCATTAAATTTATAAACCTCCAGTACATCCACTGTTTTTCTGAATCAATATATTTTAATAATTAATAGCATCGTTAAATATTAAAGCATCGTAATATCGTTAGCTCTAAAAAATGATCAATGAGAAACTAGACACAGGTACTAACACTGAATATTGAACAATGACAAACTAGATACAGGTACTAGCACTGAATATTGAACAATAACAAACTAGACACAGGTACTAACGCTGAATATTGAACAATGACAAACTAGACACAGGTAGTAACACTGAATATTGAACAATGACAAACTAGACACAGGTACTAGCACTGAAAATTGAACACTGACAAACTAGACACAGTTACTAACACTGAATATTGAACAATGACAAACTAGACACAGGTACTAACACTGAATATTGAACGATGACAAACTACACACAGGTACTAACACTGAATATTGAACAATGACAAACTAGACACAGGTACTAACATTGAATATTGAACAATGACAAACTAGACACAGGTACTAACACTGAATATTGAACAATGACAAACTAGACACAGGTACTAACACTGAATATTGAACAATGACAAACTAGACACAGGTACTAACACTGAATATTGAATAATGGCAAAGTAGACACAGTTACTAACACTGAATATTGAACAATGACAAACTAGACACAGGTACTAACATTGAATATTGAACAATGACAAACCAGACACAGGTACTAACATTGAATATTTAACAATGACAAACTAGACACAGGTACTAACATTTGTTTGTTTGCAATTAAGCATACATCTAGACAATGGGCTATCTGTGCTCTGCTCACCACGGGTATCGAAACCCGGTTTCTAGCTTTGTAAGTCCGCAGACATACTGCTGTGCCACTGGAGGGCTGAACAATGGAAAACTAAACACATGTATAACACATGAGTATTGTATATTGGTAACATAATATAGGTACTAACACTAAGTATTGTCTATTGGGAACATAATATAGGTACTAACCCTAAGTATTGTATATCGGTAACACAATATAGGTACTAACCCTAAGTATTGTATATCGGTAACATAATATACGTACTAAACCTAAGTATTGAATATCGGTAACACAATATAGGTACTAACACTAAGTATTGTATATCGGTAACATAATATACGTACTAAACCTAAGTATTGAATATCGGTAACATAATATAGGTATTAACCCTAAGTATTGTATATCGGTAACATAATATAGGTATTAACCCTAAGTATTGTATATCGGTAACATAATATAGGTACTAACCCTAAGTATTGTCTATCGGGAACATAATATAGGTACTAACCCTAAGTATTGTATATCGGTAACATAATATAGGTACTAACACTAAGTATTGTATATCGGTAACATAATATAGGTACTAACACTAAGTATTGTATAT